TTAAAAACATTTAGTGAAATCAATTCTTTAAACTGCGACTTGTTAAACTGCAAAAACCAAAAAGTTAAGGTAACTCAAACCATTTGAGGAAACCGATTGCAATAAACCATTTGAGTTCAAGTTGACTGTTGGGTTTTACTTTGTAGGTTATTCCATGCAAAATCTGTGTATTTAATCTGAGTATTTAAAAGCTATTTTTCCCCATCTCAGTCCGCAATTCAGGAACAGACAGTAAATAAATATCCTGAGTTTTTTTTTTTTTTTTTTTTTTTTTATTATTAGTATTATTATTATAATTTTTTTTTATACAATTATTAGTCATTTAAAAGTCTTTATGTTAAATAAAGAATGAGTCAAAGTCAGAGGAAAAGTATTAAGTGTAAAGACAAATTTGTAACCAAAAATGTAAATTAAGTTTGGTTTTGGTTATATCTTTTACTTTTTGTTTGGGCTAAAATTGATTCTATGTGAATTTTAACTGCTTTGTGTAATAAAACAGTGAGTGTGTCATTTTAAGGGTTTTAAATGTACCAGCAAAATGTTGACTCCTACTGTAGATGCATTTTGGAAAGGCTGTAGAAACCCAAAAATAAGCACTTAAAATGGCAGCAAGCATCTTAGACTAGAACATGGTGTGCCAAATTCTGATATTTGAAATAAATGAGAAAGTGTGTTTTATTGAAGGAATTTTGTACATGCTAACAATTTATTTTTATTAAACTGCATTCCTGCCTGAAAATCTGTAAAAGGACAGGTTGTACACGAAGTACAAATAGAAATGAACATTTCTTAAGTGCAAATAATGATGGATGTGATTTGGAACTCGGTGTGTAAAAATTGGTTGTCATACAAAAATCATTATTTTGTGTCTTCACTGCTGATTTCCAATTGACTTACAAAAATAGGAAATAATAAGAAGACGTTTTATTACAATAGCTGAAAAATCAAATACATTGACTTCTATTGGTTTATCACAACGTGTGTATATATATAGTACATGCCTCATTTAAATTAATCTGGCCTGCAAAAGCAGAAAACAAGTACAAAACATGTATTTGCTTTTGGCCGAACTTATATATGTTTAACAAGTCATGTGTATTATTTTAAAATAGTTTCAAAAGTGAATTCAAAGGGCATGCATTAATGAGAGTGCTCTGAGGTATACGTCAGCAGAGAATGTGGGTATTAAAATGGATGTTATATTGGTGATAAATGTATGCCCTTGGAATATTAAACACTATTCTAAACGTTCACTCGAGAGAATTTATGAGTATAAGATGCAACTTACAACTCGTACTAGTGTACAAAGATGAATCAAAGTCAGATGGACGGTATCTGCTGCAGTAGCAGCAAAAGTGTTTTGGAAAGTGTAATCCTGAACAAAGCTCAATGTTCACAGTTGAAGCATGTCAATTACTTTAATTCAATTCAATTCAATTCAGCTTTATTTATATAGCGCTTTTACAATGTAGATTGTGTCAAAGCAGCTTCACATAAATGGTCATAGTAACTGGAACAGTGTAGTTCAGTTTTTAGTGTTTAAGTTCAGTTCAGTTCAGTTTAGCTCAGTTCAGTGTGATTTAAAATCATTACTGAGAGTTCAAACACTGAAGAGCAAATTCATCGATGCGTAGCTCTACCAATCCTGAACCATGCATTACTTTTAGCTCTTCAGCAAATAGAAAAGGAACAGCAATCAATGTCATATTTAAATTGGCACAGTATCTATCTTGCTAACAAGCACTCGGGTCTATGAAAACTGATCATTCTATGATTTTCAACATAATAGGACTGTTTATAAGAAGAAGATTTTTTTTTTGCTGTTGTTGGATACTTGGACATATGGCAATTGACTGGAAATAAACGGACAGATAAAGCAGCTAAGGAAGCCCTGCAGTTAGAAGTATAGCATAATGCAAAATTCCTGTGTCTGATGATAGAGTTGCTTTGATTCTGTTCGTTAATGAGAAATGGCATATGGCATGTGTTGAATGAACAAAGAAATTGTCTGAAGCGAATCCATTAGTAAGTGAAAGGTATAGACTCAACCAGGTTGCATATACAATAGGGCTGCGTGATATTGGAAAGATTTGACATGGAATATTTTTTTCTCTGCTATATATATAAATGCAATGCGACTATTCTGGATGCACATTGCTATAACAATGCTAAAACAATATATTGTGCAGCCCTAATAACAAGATGACCACTCAATACATATTTATTGAAAGGGGAAGAGAAACCAGTTTGTGAATTGTAACAACATTTTTAACTATAAAATATTTGAATAAAATTAATATATTTTTTAAACTATTAGAGAATGTTTTTATTCTGAAAATATTTTAAGGGGAATGTTTAAAAAGGTGTCTCCTGTATTTAATACTGATTTTTTTAAATACTATCACTGACTAAATTGAAATATCTTATATGACATTTTATGAGTATTGTAGCCATTTGAATGTTTTTGTATAATGTTTGTTTTATTAAGAAACTAACATGAGGCATTAATAGGAGTGGGAAGACTCACAATGTTTCACTGTACACAGATGATCTCATTATATACAAATCCAATCCTTATAGTTCCATACCCAAAAGAAAGATCCTATAAATAGATTTGGGTCAATTTCAGTAAAAGTATACTATTTCCAATTATTAAGAAAGCAAAGAAGTCAGACCTCAGTAAATTTCCAAACTAAATTAATAATCTATCTTTTGTGTACCTTGGAATTTCAGTGACCAGTACATTTAAACAGCTATTTAGATGTAACTTTGATGCAGTGATGGAAAAAACCAAACAAGATTTAAACCAATGGTCTTATTAAATCGATGATCTCTCTTGCAGGCAGAATTAAATCGGTTAGGTTTTTGTATCAAAATGTCCCAGTATTTATCCCTAAATCTTTCTTTAAGAAGCTGGACAAACAGGTGTCTTCCTTCATATGGAATAAAAGCATTCCACGAATTAGGAAAGCATTTTAGAAAGGCAGAAATAAGTTGGGGGTTTGTTAAAAAAAAAATTATTTGACAGATCATGAAAATCAGGAGAATGAACCTGAATGAGTAGAGATGGAGCAGGCATCCTGTGGGACAGTTTCTCTTTTTGCAATGCTTTGTGCCCCACTACCACTTAATAGACAGTATCTGCTATACAATCATATGGTCAATAGTTTATTAAAGATATGGGCTAAGTTTAGGACACATTTTACAAGCACTTTCTTTATTACCCATTACTTCCAATGCATTGTTTTCACCATCCTTAATCGATCATGCCTTTCAGATCTGGTTTAGAAAGTAACTCAGATATGCAAGGGACTTTTTTCAAGGAAGTAATTTTATGTCATTTAAACATATGACTAAAGAATTGGATGTTCTTTAATCACATTTCTTCAGATATCTACAGGTAAGAAGCCTAGTAAAAAGGTATTTTAGTACACTTTCAGCTCCTCCCATAAGCAGCTGAATTGAGGAGATTGCACCATCTTTAGATTTTTTAAAGAAACAGTGGGAAGATGACTTAGGAAATATAGTTCCAGAGACAGTCCGGCAATCAACAGTTAAACTAAATTAACTCAACATCTATTTGCTTCAAACACAGTTTATTACAATTTCTAAAAGCAAATTGTCGAGAATATTCCCAGAAATTGATCCAACATGTTGTATAGGTGCCACGGAGATGAGGCCACCTTGGGTCATATGTTCTGTACATGTCCATCCCTAAGACCATTTTTGTCTACGGTGTTTGAGACTTTCTCTTATATATGTGAAAAGGAGATACAACCAGATCCAGTAATGGCAATATTTGGTGTGACACCTGAACACCTTGCACTACCAGCAGGTCATTTACATGCAGTAGCATTCTCTCCTTTGTTGGCCCAAAGGCTTATTTTTGCTGTGGAAGTCAACTAAACCACCAACACATGCTAATTAGGTAGAAAATGTCATGGCATATCCAAAGCTAGAAAAACTCAAAAATAGCACCCAAGTCTTAAATAATAGATTCTTCAAAGTTTGGAGATCCTTCCTGTCGTATTTTGAGAACAGATCTATTCCAAATACTTCAATTGTAGCTCCCCCAACTCCCCCCTAAATCTATTTTTTTTTTACTATTTTTTTTATTTACCTTTTTCTTTTAATTGGTATTATTTTACTTTATATTTGGTTTCCTAATTTTTTATGTACTTTGTTCTTGTATATATTTGAGTTGCTCTGTTAAAAAAAAAAAAATCTGAAAAATTCATTAAAAGACTTGTCTACTAAGAAACTAATATGTTTGTGGGGCTGCACTGTCACCTCACAGCATGAAGGATGCTGGTTTGAATGGCTGTACCAGGAGGTATTTCTGTGGAAGTCTGTGTGTTCTCATGCATACATGCGAAAGGCCATAGTGTATGAGTGTGTTTGTGACTGAGTGTATAGGTGTTTCCCATCTTTCACCGGTGCAATGTCAGACACAGTGCACTCAATGGAGCTAGTGTCATCACTGTGAGGGTTAGGGGTGGGGTTAGGTGAGCGTGAGCCTAACTGCATGCAGCTCAGCTTACTTCTGCACCAAGTCTGCTGCCAGACCCCTCTTGTTTGTTCTGCTGTTGCAAACCCTGAAAAACAGGGACTAAGCTGAAGAAAAGTGAGTGAGCGAGTGTTAAGGTTGTAAATTATTTTGAGCATATTAGGACGTACTGTCTATGGAAGATGGAGGAGCCCTCTGATATCACCCAAAATATCTTAATCTGTGTTCAGAAGTCTTTGGAACCAATATAAAGACAAGTACTTGAGGCAGAATTTTTTTATTTTTGGGTGAACTAACCTTTTAAGGATGTGCTTAAGATTTAACACTTTTGTCAGGGAGTTGTTTTGTCCCAAGGTTTAATGCTCCATCTTTTTTTAACTTGTGGATTTCTGAATGCATTCATGAGTAGTTTTGAATGAAAGACCCTCCCTCTCCCGGCAGAGCCCCATATAAAAGTTCTCGTCTCCATTCTCCCTCACACTAAAGATGACAGTGTGGTGTACGCGCCACCAGCTGGACTTCACCTACTGAACTTAAAGTACTTTTAACATCATCCACCTATTCAGATAATGCCGTTTTCATTTACGTTAAACTTAAGCAACACATCCGTGGAGATGGACACCTCCGCAGATGAGCCCCGAAACGAGCAACTGGCTCAAATCGAGATCGCGCTTCTGAGCGTCATCTTCCTCTGCGCGTCCACTCTGAACTTCAGCCTGCTGCTGGTCCTGTGGAGGAAACGACAACAGATGTCCAGAATGCGCGTGTTCGTGACCCACCTCTGTTTGGCGGACCTGGTGGTCGCGTTTTTCCAAGTGTGCCCTCAGCTGATGTGGGACATAACTGACCGCTTCGTCGGTCCGGACCTCGTATGTCGTTTGGTCAAGTATCTGCAGGTCGTCGGCATGTTTGCGTCCACTTATATGATAGTTGTGATGACTGTTGACCGCTATCAGGCGATCTGCAACCCGATGGTGACTTTCCAGAGGAGGCGCGCGCGCTGGAATCTGCCCGTGTGCGTCGCGTGGCTGGTGTCGTTCGTTTTAAGCGTACCGCAATTGTTTATTTTCTCCAGAGTTCAAATCGCCCCGGGGGTCTACGACTGCTGGGCTGAGTTTGTCCAGCCGTGGGGACCTAAAGCGTACGTGACATGGACGACGCTGGTGATTTTTCTGGTGCCCGTGGTAATGGTGACTGCCTGTCAGGTGCGCATCTGCCGCGCGCTCCAGATCAACCTGTATCTAAAGACGCAGCAGCAACAGCGGGGAGACGAAGGACACTCGCACCCACTCTCCTCCAGAGCCAGCAATGTGGTGTCGGTGTCCAAATCTCGGATTAAGACGGTGAAGATGACTGTGGTGATCGTGCTCGCCTACACTGTTTGCTGGGCTCCTTTCTTCACCGTGCAGCTGTGGTCTGTGTGGGACGACGACGCACCGACCGAGAGTAAGAGAAGTTTTCTTAAATTGAATTGTTGCTAGAATTGTGGCACCTTTATCGAATACTAGCCTTTATCCATTTGACAGTAAACATATACAATCTATTTGATACATTTTAAACAGTTGTGTTCATTAATAAGAGTTTGGCCACACAACAAATTAAGCAATAGAACTATACAGAATTAAAATACATTCTAATGTTGCAAAAATAAAAATACAAAATTTCAACAAAATGCAATATTTTTATGGTACTCATACTTTTTCTCTTGAATAAAATGTAATGTAATATTATTGTAATTGTATTTATTTGGGTGTACACATTTTTTTTTTCAAGATGTTAAGTTATTTTGTTAGATTTATTCCAGTTTTGTCTTTGGTACTAACTAATCTAATGTACAGTGCCTAGAAAAATCATCTTACCTCTTTGAAATAATTACTGTCATACACTCTGAAATAAAATCACATTCCAAATGTGATTTGGAAATGTTTGAGGGGTGAATGTAACCTCTAATTAACCTTTAATTCCACATAAAGAACATCAAAACAAGATGTATGAAGGGGTCTGCCCTTTAACACTTAAGACAAAGTTTGCTCTGATCACCTTAAATAATATTACTAATTAAAATAATAGATAATGTAAATGTACATTAGACAATCTCTATTGTAAATGCATTGTTTTTTAGCAGTTTGAAACTGGCAAATCTAGAGCACCAACAACAGACAGCGTAATTGTTCACAAAACGTTTTTTGTAAAAAATGCTTTTGTATTGTATGTGTCCATAAAACTAGAAGCGTAGTTGGGGTTTTATTATACACTTGCTTGCAAACCTCTAACCATTTATTTTTATATCACAAATATCATTGAGAACCACCCAGTATCCCTTAAAACACTCAAAACAAAAGTTAGCTTAATGAATTAAATGTAATTGAATTAAATATATAACTTTGCTTCACTTTGGCATACTACTGAACATAACTGAAAAACTTGACACCCTCGCTTATCAATGAATAATTCACACCCTGCCTGTGCCTTTCTACAACTTTATCTTGAAAGTCTTTTGAAAGCAGGGTGTAATGTGAGGAAAAGTTTAGATTTTTTTTTTTTTTTTTTTATGGGAACTGAATATAAACACATCTTATTCTTTAGCATCCTATACATGTATAAAAACTTAGATTCTTGATTGGTGGATGAATATACAATTTTTCATAAATACATTTCAGATTTATATTGTTTATTGTTCTACCTGTCAAAAAAAAATCATTATAAAGAAAAAAATACAAACAAAATATTCCCTTTAATCTGTGTATGAAGAGAGAGCCATGAGAGTGATGTGATCTTTCCTGTAACTCAATTATAATTGAGTAATTCATGACAACACTCCACACTCTCCCCTTCATAAGCAGTGCTCAGTCACTGTGGAATGTATAGGGGTGTTTACTAAGAGTGGGACCAAATGCGGTTTCTTATGTCTAACCCATATATATTATGATATTTCAGCTGCAACCTTCACCATCCTCATGCTGCTGGCGAGTCTGAACAGCGTTGCCAATCCATGCATCTACCTGCTGTTCACAGTGAAGTTTCCAGAACTCTTAGGGTCTCTGCTGTGCATGAAACACGCTGAGAAGAAGGAGCCACTGCCTGAGGAGACTACAATGGTCAGCTCTCTCTATCTGAGCTTTAAAAGCCACTCTGACATACGGTGAAAAAGAAACAATGTTCTGTACTTTGCGCATGTATGCCAGTATTCTCTGTACATTTACCATGTAAATAATTTGTAAATTTAATAAGTGTTCAGTACCTCTGTATATACAACATAATTTATATAGTGCTGTTACCATCTAGTACCATCAGTGCATCATGGTACGAGAACAATACATTATTTAAAGTAGACATTTGTTAAATTAATTAAATTTAAATTAATGGTTTGGCACAATGTGCCTATTGAGTACATGCATGTTTCTATCATAGTTATTTTTGAAATAGCTGCATGTCATTTCATCTGCAATTACATCCTTAAACTTTCATATAAAACCAGACCTGACCCTAACCTTCCCTGTATCCTACCTCAGTAGCACCAAGTATTTTGGAATACCATATGAACACAATAAGTACATTGCATTTATTTTTTGGATGGAAGTACATTGTTATGGGGCCTTAAATTTTACATTTTGATTATGTGTCTGTTATATAGGCTCTTAAATATTCTATCATTTGATATATTTATCTGTACATATTCAATTCAATTTAGCTTTATTTGTATAGCGCTTTTACAATGTAGATTGTGTCAAAACAGCTTCACATAAATGGTCATAGTAACTGGAACAGTGTAGTTCAGTTTTTAGTGTTTAAGTTCAGTTCAGTTTAGCTCAGTTCAGTGTGATTTAAAATCATTACTGAGAGTTCAAACACCGAAGAGCAAATTCATCGATGCGTAGCTCTACAGATCCTGAACCATGCGAGCCAGTGGCGACATATCAAGCAGGGAAAAAAATGATGTACAAGGACTTCTAGTCTGACTTTAAGTGTTGTTATGAAATTGGCTGTACATGTCGACTGTTCTGTGTGTTAATAAAGTGCTTTAACATAACAAACTAAAATCAGTTCTACGTGAATTTGTTTAAATGCATAGCTTAATGTTCTAAAAGCTACATTTGAGCCTTCTGTGAGCTTTAGGAGACTGAAAAGACTGAAAGTCCATGTGTGGAGAGAATCAAAGGCAAAGTTAATTTCTTTTTAACATGGCATTGTTTTCGCTGGGAAGACTGTGTGGTCTGATCCTCTTATTAGGGTTTAACATCCTCCTCCAATGGAACCTGCTGTACAAATTAGGTGCAGAGACATGAAAAAAGAGCACACTGTTTTAATTCACTTATTACATAAGGAAGAGCTTAGCACTAGCAACAAACAAACCAATGAATCCTTACAGAATGTTACTTTTTGCTGGACAACTATGCTGCAAACATACAGTAAAACAATTATTGTGAAGTTATTATGCTGTAATAGCGGTTTAAAATAAACTTTTCTACTTTAAAATGAAATTCTGAAGATGTAGATTACTAGATTGTTCTTCACTAAGAGAAAAAATGCCAACCCCTTGATGAGCTTGGCATTTATACCCAATTAGGAAATCACTCTGGTAATTCCTGTGGTGTAAACATGCCCAAAAAAGGAGAAAGTTTTTCTAGTGCTACACTACCTGACTAAAGTCTTGTCATTGATCCCAGTTGCTAATCATTTGAAAAAGTGGCAGAAGATAGATTTTTCCAATGTACTGCATCCCAATCATCACAAATACTGCAGAAGACCTATTAGAACTCGCATGAACCCAAGATTCTCACTGAAATCTGTCCAGTTTGGTGAAGGAAAAATCATGGTTTGGGGTTACATTCAGTGTGGGGAGGTGCGAGAGATCTGCAGAGTGGATGGCAACATCAAGAGCCTGAGGAATCAAGACATTTGTGCTGCTCATTACATTACAAACCACAGGAGAGGGCAAATTCTTCAGCAGGGTAGTGCTCCTTCTCATACTTTAGCCTCCACATCAAAATTCCTGAAAGCAAAAAAAGTCAAGGTGCTCCACGATTGGCCAGCCCAGTCACCAGACATGAACATTATTGAGCATGTCTTGAGTAAGATGAGGGAGGCATTGAAGATGAATCCAAAGAGTCTCGATGAACTCTGGGAGTCCTGCAAGAACACTTTCTTTGCCATTCCTGATGACTTTATTAATAAGTTATTTGAGTCATTGCGGAGATGTATGGATGCAGTCCTCCAAGCTAATGGGAGTCATACACAATATTCATTCTTTTTCCACTGCAGCATGACTTTATATTCTGTACTCTACATTTTCTGTTAAGTGACAAGACCTTTGCTTCAGCAAAGTCAGACCTTACTGTTGTAATTAAAGTATTAAAAATCAAGACATGATCATATTTTATTTTGGTAAACTAGCAAAATCTAGAGCATTTGGCTTTCATATGAGCCACTTCTGATACCAAATGATCAACTAAAAGTCAAGTTATTATTTGTTGTTCGTTAAACTTTTATAGGCAACAAGACTTTTGTCAGGTAGTGTACAGTGAAACAATTATCCCACAGCTAATAGCAGATTAAAATAAACTCTTGTAGTTTAAAATGAAAATTTGTAGTTTGAGATTACAAAAATGCTCTCTACTAAGAAATATGACGAACTTGGCAGTTATACTTAATTAGGGAATGACTCCAGTAGTTCCTGTAGCGTGAATATGCCAATAGTTGAGTACTTCAACAAAAAATGCTATCTTCCACACAACCAATTTGTGTTGGGACAGCATGAAGAAATGAAGTTAACTTTATTATTCTTTATAAATTTTAGTGGATTTAGCATAAAAAATTAGTTGTCTCTAAAAAAAACTCAATAATTCTGTTGTTTCAGCTCATTTTAATTAAATATTTTGAACAACGACAAATGTCATGTTTTGAATGTGTAAAAACTATAGAAAAAGTTAATCTTAATTAAGTTAATCGTAATTTTGATAAGACATACTCTTAAAATGTCCCTTGTGGAACCAAAAATGGTTCATTGCAAATAATTGCGAATAGTTTAAGCTGAATTTAAACAAACAAATTTAAGTTAAACTTGACAAAAGTTAATTGTTTGAATTCAGCCCACACTGAAAAAAATGATGTCTGCTAAATTTTTGCAGAAACAAACAAATTAAATGTTGTAATGTTCAACTTAATTGGTTTGTTTAAATTGAACCCAAATAAATGGTTTACAACCGCTTAATTAAAAAAAGTAAATCCAAGGAATCATCCCAGAATACATTTTTAGTGCATGTAAACTGTCTACAACTACTTATCTTAAATAAAAAAAAGTAAATCCAATGAATTGTTTTTTTACAGTGTGTTATTCCTGTATCTTTACTTTAAGAAACTTTAATGTGGTGCCAAACAGATAAATTAATCAATTGGGGATCTTTATTTCTTGGTGTGGAATGTTGTATGATAAGTTTGAATCACATTAAATTTAAAAGTGTTCAGCTTACAATGCCATTCCCGGAAGTGGATGGTGGTCACCTGTTATTCCCACAGATTTGAGCAATCTGGACCACAGTGTGGTGACATCACTGACTGCATGACTGTTTGCATATGTTTGATCAATAACCAAAATATTAGGATGTTCCAAAAATATATACAGCTGAACTCAGAATTATTAGCCCCCCTTTAAATTTTTTATTTTTTTTTAATATTTCCCAAATTATGTTTAACAAAGCAAGGGAATTTTTACAGTATGTATGACTAATATTTTTTCTTCTGGAGAAAGTATTATTTGTTTTATTTTATTTTAAATAATTTTTAAAAAACCAACAATTATTAGTTCCTTTAAGCTGTATTTTTTCCAATAGTCTACAGAACAAACCATCAATATACAATAACTTTCCGAATTACCCTAACCTGTTAACCTAATTAACCTAATAATTATGATTAATTATAATTATTAGGGGTCTAATAATTCTGATTGCAACTGTAAAAGTGAATAATAATATTACACTGCATTGTTTATTTTGTTGCCAAGGTGACATCTCAGTTAAATGCTACACAGTGTTTTTGCTTTAGAGCTTCATATTGATTTGATTCAGCGTTGACTTTGAAGCTGTAAGTGCTTTTGAGAACATACGTCGTTGAGTGTCTGAATGTAGTGCACATGACAATTGTAGAGGAACATTGGTGTAAGTAGCAATTATTCAGGCTTTGAGAGGTTGCTACTGAAGCCAGATCATAAAATAGAAACTCTTTACAATCACGACAGCATTCTTGCCCCTGTAACACTACATTTCCCCTAATATCTGCATCAAACGAATCAAACATAAAAGCATTTTACTAGCCAGCCTAATGACAGACATGCTCCTGACCTACATATCACTGTGGAACACATATGCTTTTAAGGACGTTTTCCAGTAGGTCAAGTGATTACAAGTTTGGGAATGAATCATGTTTGTATGCGGACTGGACATACATCAGTCGAGCTGTAATTATTTGTGCCAGTGTGAGCCTTTGATGGCTTGCATGGAAGCCCTAATAGATATGGTGGCCCACTGGGATTCGCATTTTCATTAGGCATCTTGCTGTTCTATTCAGCAGCAGTCTTGTATTTTATTTATATTTACAAAGACATTGCATTGAAAAAAGCTTCTTGGAGGAGCTATTTTAAAGGGATGGTTCACCTTAAAATGAAAAGCTACAGTTATGTATTCATCCTCAGGCCATTGAAGATGTGGGTGACTTTTTTTCTTCAGTAGAATATGAAGTAGAGGAGAATGGAAAAACTGGACATACCTAGGCATAGCTGAATAATAATAGTTGAGTATATGGCAATGACACACTGTGAGTCTCAAACATAATCGTGTCCTCCGTTCACTGTGTAAATCCCTGTCAGTGTAAAATCCCTATGAAAAACAAACCGAACACAACTCTGACATTATTTAGGCTGTGGTCACACTGGACTTTTCTCCCCATAGACTTCCATTCATAAGCATGCGAATGCGTCAGACCGGAAATGCAAGTCTATGCCTCAAATTTGGCAGATCATTGCTTTGCAAAGTTCAAGCTTGGTGAACTCTGACCTACGAAATTGCTTCAATCGACTGCGTGAAACCAATCAAGGATCAAAACATGACCTCTCTGGACAGAAATTTAAAATAAGGAGCAATCGATCACCTTTTTTAAATGTCTAATTATCTCGTTTAATCCTACCTCTTTTTACAGCGCTGTGCGACAGAATTTCGCATGCTCAGTGTCACAGTGTAGAACTGAGCAAAGACACTGTGACTGACATCCATCACATTACACTCATACATAAAATACATACAATTATAAACATGGTTTGATTGCCAGCAAAACAATATGTATACACATTTTTGCAATGTCATCAGTGTATTGTGCATGTGTGTGTTTGTGTAATGTGAATTTGGTTTATTGTCCAAGATTACCATTGTTTATGTAAATATCTTAATATCATGTCAAACAATAGCCCATATCATCTTTCCATTCACACTGAAATAAACACAGACACGTTTTCTTTTAAACATCATTTATTAACCATAAACCGGAAGTACGTCAACAACGTGTAAACCCAGTTCCGGTATAAGTTTTTTGGCGGAGAAAAGGCAGAGTGTTTTCGGCGAGCCTGAGTAGTTTTCTAAAGTTAATTAAATAAGTAATTAAATACATGCAATTAAAATAGGGGAGAGCGGGGCAGAACCTAACACAACGGCAGTTGTAACACACTTGTT